ATTTTTTATTTAATTTATTTTTATTAATAATTTTTCAGTTTAAAATAGTTTATTAAGAAAAAGTCTAATGAATTAAATAAAATTTTTAAATATTTTTATTTGCATGTTTAAAGCTACTAAACACGGACAACACGTGACTTACACGTAAGCAGAAGGCATGATTTGAGAATCGGAATGGCGGAAGCTTTTAAGAAGTTGCTTCTCCTGTTTCTTACGGAAAGTTGTTACATCGAATTTTTTGTGAAATTTAATTTTTTCAATGGTATGTCTGTTTTCATATTTACACGTTTATAGTATTGTTTCAGGTGTAAATAATTGTGGAAGGTAGAAAGCGATTAAATTAATCAATATCATGCATATGTATGTTTGTTGTTGTAACACAGTACATAAACACGAGTCACATTTTTTAACTAGACGAAGCAGATCGATAATTTATACGAAGAATTTATCAATAGTATGATTTGCACCATTTTAAATATATTTCTTTGGTTTAAATTTTATATTTTTGCTATGAAAAAATTATTTATTTTTTAAGATGTTATGTTAATATATAATTTTTTAATCTTTTATTTAATCTTATCATGAAATTTGCAGTTTTACAGATTTATCTAGAATTTATCTATATATGAAAATGATTTGATAAATATATAAGTGATTGAATTTAAAAATAATAAATTTAATATAGACTATATATCTACAAGGTTATTTTAATAACTATATCTTAGATCTTTAAGTTGATTAAAAATAATCTTTTGACCTACAATTTTACTCAAATGTAAAAATTGCTGACTGATTTATAAAACTTTTTAATTTAAATATATTAAACGTTTCTCGAGTTTAATTTGGCTCGTCTTCGGGTACCGTACGTATTTAAAATTCGATTGAACATAAACAACATTTTCAAATTTCCTGTTTTGTGCTAGCACACTTTTTCTTAAAGACAGACTTATCGTACTGGATTAGCCACGGAACAGAACACAGTTTTCTTCTATGTATTTATTTTTCAATATGCATTTTGTACCTAAACAGGTCCCTCCTCGGTCTTAATACATAAGTTTTTTTTTTTTTTTATTTTTAGGCATATGCATAAAAAAACTGACACACAAACTGAAAATATATACTAAAACAAACCAATTCACACCTAAATGCTAATTCCAGCAAATGAACAACAAAAAAATTTTAATGTTCAACGTTTTCGGCTGTCTTTCAGAGGCCCTCGTCAGGAAAAATTTGCAGAAAATAGAAAAAAAACAATTCTATCTTTTTAACAGTTCTCGAATATAGCTGTGTTCTAATTTTTAACATTTAAACGATGTTGAATACAAAGATTGTTACATATTACAACATATAATTATAACTTATAATTAAAATATTTTATAAATAAAGTTATAATTATATGTTGTAATATGTAACGATCTTTGTATTCAACATAGCTATGTTCGAGAACTGTTAAAAAGATAGAACTGTTTTTTTTTTCTATTCTCTGCAAATTTTTCCTGATGAGGGCCTCTGAAAGACAGCCAAAAACGTTTTGAACATTAAAATTTTTTTTGTTGTTCATTTGCTGGAATTAGCATTTAGGTGTGAATTGGTTTGTTTTAGACATATGCATATATATTGAGAAGATTTTTATTATAAAATCAATAATGTATATACGTGTACACAACAAAAATTCACCAAATGAGTACATTTTAACCTGGACATATAAACTTAAAAAGAAAAATCTGTACTATTCAATACAAAATCCTGGAAATTGATGAAATTGTATTTCAGCATGAGTGTAAAATTGTGTTGCAATATGCTCTGAAATAGACCTATTAAGAAGGCCAAAAGCATTCATCTATCAAATTAAAGTGTTGGTAGAATTATTTTATAGTTTCTTCTTGTATATTGGTAAGAATTAAGCAGACTAGTAGCACATGTATCCAGGGCTAAATGTATTGTACCATAGAGCCAGATTTCAAAGAACAGGGGATGATATATGACAACCAGAAAACATGTCCAAGAGTTACTACTACTCAACAGGATCATAAATTCACAGTAATAGCACATTATAACAGAAGAATATGTGATAGACAGCTCTTTGTATAGCTGTCTATGGCCAATGGTGTTAGTTTCACAATAAACAGGATAAAAGAGACTAAGTGAATAGTTTTTTTTTTTTTTTCAAACACCTAGTACTGTACATTGCATTCTATTGACCTCTGTGCACAGAAGACCCCATTTTAAGACAGTGTCAAATTAATGATATGTCCAAAATCAAGAGCATAACCATTAAATTGGCCTATAAGTGTTTTGTTTTTGTGTACACTCATTTATGTATGTATATTTAGATGATAAATGTGTTAAATTTTTATAAACAATAAATATATTATTGTTAAAATAGAATTATTTATCACAATTAATACTGATGTTAAATTTTCAAAAATTTAAATGTTTTATTAAGATTATTCTTAATAAACATTAAAATAATGAAACAAAAATAAATGGCTAGTATATGTGTAATAATAAAAATGAGTGTCATTATATAAATGTTGTTTCATAAGAAATGTGTTACTTTATAGATAAAAATGTATGCAAGAAAAAACATACAGGTTTTAAAAGTTGGCAGAGAGTTTTGAAATTATGTAAATATTTTTAGAATATAATATATTGTTCACTGATGATGATGCTAAAAATTGTTTGAAACAAATCAGAAAAATAAAATGTATATATCCTATACTGATATTTTCTACTAAATGTAAAATACTCTTTCACTCTGAAGTATCGGTTTTAAAAATGTTTACATAATATTCATTAATTGATTAAATTACTTGTTGAAATCTGTTTGTTACTTCTTTATGGCCTATATTTTTTATTTTACAAGTATTGCAGTGTTTGTAGAAAGAAATGGTATTGCAGATATTGCAGTATTTGTTACAGTGTGAATTGTCTGTGGTGTTTGAAATTTTAAAATAAATGCTCAAACACCACAGACTTAAAAAATAATTTTAAAATAAATGCTGTGTGCAACAATTCCCTTTCTTTTGTTTTGAATTTGTTTTCCTTTTGACTTCTCAAAACTAAATGTGTATAACAGCAAGTACCATAAAAATGCTATCAACAAATTGGAACCTAAATTTGAACACTTACTGAAGTCTATTTTTCTGATTTAGATTGTTCATAATAAAGTGGGAATGAATTTCAATTTACTTCAACATTTTCTACACACAAATTATTAAAGATGAATTTTTGGATATAATATGAACTCCAATGTAAGAGTTGAAATAAAAAAAGTTCTTTCAAGTATTTTTGCCATTTTATTGTATATAATACTCCTTAGAAAAAGTTTAAGACAAAAGTTTTTTCTAAAATTCATGAGTAAAAAAGAAAAACATAACACTGACATTTTACAATGAATACTGATATGAAACACAATATTTATTTACTACCATGTAAGTGCATGTGCTAAATATATTTTTAAAAAGTGGGTACTTATTTATATACCACTCACCAAATAAACCATCACCAGTTCATAACCAAACAGAAAAATTCTTGCTACGAACGTTTTCATCTATATGTAATAGAAATCC